TGAGAGAGTATGGATGGAGAAGGGGTTAGAGAGTATGGATGGAAGAAGGGGTTAGAGTATGGATGGAAGAAGGGGTGGGAGAGTATGGATGGACAGGAAGGTAGGAAATGAGAAATAAAAGGTGGGGAAGAAAACAGAGAGGAAAGGAAAAGAAAGGGAAGATAACTGAGAGGTGAGGGGAGAGAGCAGATAGGTAGGGCTGACCATCTGTTGCTTAAGGATAACGGTGCGGTAACTGTTGGCTCTACATCAACGGCTCCTTCAGAGCCTCTGCCGCAGCCGCCACTGTAGCCACACATGTGGGTCACCTCCCATACCTGTGACAGGTTTCTAGGGTTCTTTTGTAGTCCAGCCCATGGTCAGACTTCCTTGTTTTGACATTGGGTCATCGGGTGAGCTCCCGCCATGTTGGCTATCTAGCATGTGCTACCGATACTATTTCTCGGGAGTCGCAACAAAATGATGTTCATCTGAAGAATTTTGAGATGCCTTTGACCTGCTGTGCTCTGGGTTGTTCAAACAAAATATAGCAGTAAGGACTAGGAGTTAATGAGAGAACTGAGCTTTTTTTTCCCGGACTCTTGTTCCTCATCCTTTGCGGATGATACTAGGATCTGCATGAGGCTGTCATCTGCTGAGGACACGGTTAACCTCCAAGAAGATATAAACAAAGTTTTCCAGTGGGCAACGGTAAACAATATGATGTTCAATGAGGACAAATTCCAACTACTCCGTTATGGAAAACTGGAGGAGATAATAATTAGAACAGAGTATACTACTGACTCCGGCCATACAATAGAGCGGAAAAATAATGTAAGGGACCTGGGAGTAGTAATGTCTGAGGATCTCACTTTCAAGGATCACAACAGTGCCACGATCGCACGTGCAAAGAAAATGATAGGATGGATAATGAGAACTTTCAAAACGAGAGATGCCAAGCCCATGATGATCCTTTTCAAATCACTTGTTCTCTCTAGGTTGGAATACTGCTGTACATTAACATCTCCATACAAAGCAGGTGAAATCGCAGATCTAGAGAGTGTACAGAGATCCTTTACTGCACGTATAAGTTCTGTCAAGCACCTTAACTACTGGGAACGCTTGGAAGCACTTGACTTGTACTCGTTGGAACGCAGGAGGGAGAGATATATCATAATCTACACTTGGAAAATCTTGGAAGGAATGGTCCCAAATCTGCACACAGAAATCACTCCCTACGAAAGTAAAAGACTGGGCAGGCGATGCAAAATGCCGCCAATAAAAAGTAGGGGCGCCATTGGTACACTAAGAGAAAACACCATAAGTGTCCGGGGCCCAAAACTGTTCAACAGCCTCCCATCAAGCATTAGGGGAATTGCCAATAAACCCCTGGCTGCCTTCAAGAGAGAGCTGGACAGATACCTAAAGTCAGTGCCGGATTAGCCGGGCTGTGGCTCGTACGTCGGACTGCGTGCGGCCAGCAGTAACAGCCTAGTTGATCAGGCCCTGATCCATCGGGAGGCCTGGTCATGGACCGGGCCGCGGGGGCGTTGATCCCCGGAATAACCTCCAGGTAACCTCCAGGTAACCTCACTTGCAGTCAGTATTATGTGAAGCTTCTAACCTTCCTTACCTGTCGCACATGATTATGATCGTAATGAAAGGGTAAACTCCTAAAGATTATACAACAACTGGAATGAAAGGTAATCAGGCTTGTTAATAGGGGAGGGTGGCTCCAGTGCTTTGGAGCCTATCACCAGTACCAAGGAACATCTCACCCTCCTTGAAAAAGGGGGGTCGGTCTCCTACCCTTGTGGTAGGGGGAGGAGTAGGACCAGCCACATAACGGCGTTTCTGTTATCCTACGTGCCCTCACACACACTACACTTCACCCCTCTTCCTCTCCCTCACTCTTCCTCTCTCTTCCTCACTCTTCCTCACTCTTCCTCTCTCTTCCTCCCTCTTCCTCCCTCTTCCTCCCTCTTCCTCTCTCTTCCTCTCTCTTCCTCCCTCTTCCTCCCTCCCTCCCTCTCCCCCCTCTCTCTCTCCCTCTCCCTCCCTCTTTTTTTTTTTTAACAGGGTTTGACAAGGTTAGGTTAAGGATCCCTAGCTTTATTGACAAGCTATTTACAAGTTAAGGATTCCTAAACTATCGACAAGCTAAGAGCTGTTACCTACATCGGCTCATTTGAAAGCATTTTTGTTTTGAGACATACAAGTAAGGAACTGGATGAAGTTGGAGCCATCTGTGGGCCAGCATTTTCATTTGATCAACTGACTTTCTCCCCCTCCCTCTCTCTCTCTCTCTCCCCCTCCCCCTCTCTCCCTCCCCCTCTCTCCCTCCCCTCCCCTCTCTCTCCCTCTCTCCCTCCCCTCTCTCTCCCTCCCCCTCTCTCTCCCTCCCCCCCCTCTCTCCCCTCCCCCCTTCTCCCTCCCCCCTCTCCCCCCTCCCCTCCCTCCCCCCTCTCTCTCCCTCCCCCCCTCTCTCCCCCCCCTCTCTCCCTCCCCCTCCTCTCTCCCTCCCCCCTCTCTCTCCCTCCCCCCTCTCTCTCCCTCCCCCCTCTCTCTCCCTCCCCCTCTCCCTCCCCCTTCCTCTTTCCCTCCCCCTTCCTCTTTCCCTCTCAGCATCCTGTTAAGAGGGAGATGGTGAGGAACAGAAATAGTAACGAAGAAAACCGGGGAGAGAAGAGAAATGGTAAGAGAGGGAAAAGGGGATTGAATATTAAGTTTGAGAGATGACTGAAGCAGTGAAGAAGAACGTAATAAAGTGAGAGGAAAGCGGTCATGAGAGAGCATTGTACTTAAAAATATTTGGAATAAATACAAGCTTATCTGTAGTGGTAATAGTGTAGCCACCTGTGATGGAGGTAATAATAATCACTGTATCTACCTGTGATGGACCCCTCAAGGAAGGTTCCTTGATGTTGGTGAGGGGCTCTTGATATAGGGAATTGGATCTGTGCTCCAGTTCCCCGAATTAAGCCTGAATGCCTTACACATCCCTCCCCCCCAGGCGCTGTATAATCCTCCGGGTTTAGCGCTTCCCCCTTGATTATAATAATAAATACCTGTGATGGAGATGATAATAAATGTAGCCACCTGTGATGGAGGTAATAATCAGTGTAGCCACCTGTGATGAAGGTAATGATAATCAGTGTAGCCACCTTAGCCAGAGGAAAACACTCGTGTCGAAATGTTTCATCAATAAATGCTTGGAACTGTGCATAAGTGTCTTGATCCACACACGGCCAGTGTTCTATCGATGTTTATCCTCATTGGGTGTGATGTATGTGAAAAAGGCTTTCTGTTTGCAACAGTGAACGTCTGTGTCAGTTTTAAGCAGATTAGAACAATATTTGAAGAGAGCCAAATAAAAAAAATGAAATATTTGGACAGTTGGGTTTTCCTTTTTCCCCACAGATTTAGGTTCCATATCATCAGGAACCTAAGTCCTGCAAGTTATGGGGTTCAACTGTACCAAGGTTATAATAATCCATGCTACTGAGAAATCACATTCCTTAAACTGGCAGGCCTAGTTAGATGAATCTTATGAGAATCAGCTTGCCGGGTGGTTAGTGACTGGCCTGTGAGTTGTAGGACTCACTTGCCAGGGGTTCAAGCCTCACCACTTCTGTGGTTTGTTTGCAATCATGTTATTAAGAGTTTGTGAGCCATGATACTAAGGTTATAATAATGCTTCTTTATGCTAAGGTCACCTATGGCTATCTAAATGATTCCAAATATTCACACATTAAGCAAGGAGAATTTTTATAAGTTTCGTCCTCGGTGGGGCTGTATCAAGTACTGTACAGTATTTGATGAAGTATAGTACAGTGACCTCATACAGGTATAATAAACACTGAGTGTGAAAAGTAATAAAATACAAGGTTCTCCCACTCTAAAGTGTCTGAATTACCATACTACATATTGACTTACACTATTGCCTACCAGTTATCACGACAATCCATGATACTAATGTAATAATAGCATGTCATGTTAAGGTAGTAATGTGTAATTTCAGGGTGAAGAAGTTGATATGGCAGGCCGGGATGCAGAAGTACAGTGGCTGGGTGAAGCTTGTAGGAGGCTAGGATGGGCACCAGAGACTAAATTCATAGCAGCAGCACTTCTAGACCGCCTGCTGCACTGTGTCAGAATTCCACCACGCTACCTGCATGCTGTCACAGCTGCTGCTGTCTTCCTTGCTGGCAAGATCCATGAAGAAGATGAAGTGAGTGCGCACATTCAAAACTAATGTGTACATGCCTCATTTTTTAGGTGATGTGCAGAAGAAAGTGGAGGCAATGAGAATGATAGGGAAATGATGTTATATATATATATATAATATATATATATATATATATATATATATATATATATATATATATATATATATATATATATATATATATATATATATAATACATACACACCTCTGCGAAAACAGTGATAATGTGCGAGTGTGGTGAAAGTGTTGAATGATGATGAAAGTATTTTCTTTTTGGGGATTTTCTTTCTTTTTTTTTTTTGGGTCACCCTGCCTCGGTGGGAAACGGCCGACTTGTTGAAAAAAAAAATATATATATATATATATATATACTATACAGTATTAAAATTAGTGATATGTTAAGGTCTCTCCTAGCCTTTCCATGAGTATTGGGAGGCTTTAGATTTATGCTGTATTTCCTGGGAATAAAGATATAAACAAAGGGGACTTGAGATTTTGTTAAAGACCGAGCTAGTTGCCAAAAGAACCAGTGAGGCAGCCATTGAGAATATCATGTTTTCTCTGCATGGTCTTAAGAAAGAACCAGTTCTTCTCTTTCAGTCACCTTAATGCAATCAATCCACAATTTGGTATGTGTGCAATATTCGTTTTTAAGTTTAGTTTACAATAAATTACATAGTCTTCAAATTAAGTATTAATTTAGAGATGCAGTCATTCCTTTTGAACTATTTTGTACTGCTTATAATGTAATGCTCAAGCCTCACACACTGAGTGTCCGTGATTCGATCCCTGACATGAGTAGAAATGTTGCGCCTGTTTCCAATTACACCTGCTCTGTTCACCTAGCAGTAAGTAGGTACCCGGGTGTTAGTCAACTGGTGTTTGTAGTATGGGTGGCTAACTCTCCCCTGGGTTAAAAATACGAACAAATCTAATCTTTCCAGTCGTTTCTTTTGAACTGTTTTGTACTTCTTATAATGTATATGTCTTTAAGATCAGCAGTTTTATGGATGGATATTTCATATTTATCAGAATGTACCAACAACAATAGAAGTAGTGGAACTAAGTGGCATGAGGTGCTCACACCGAGAATTGCTGCGAATGGAGCGAGTTTTGCTTGATAAGCTGTCATGGCACCTGCAGTCTACTTCCACGCTAAACTTCCTACAAGTTCTACATGCCCTTGCCATCGTCACTGCCCCTAAACACCACCATGCCAACAGGTATTTGTTGAGGAATGCACAAGATAAATAAGACATATACTGTATATGCTTGTATAGTGGTGAATTATCCTGTAAATCCTCATGTACAGTAGTATTAAGATTTCTTTGGAACACTTACAGGTGTCCAATTATAAAGTGGAGAGTTCTATTTTTTTTAGCAGGTTTGTTAGGTAGGCATTTAGTAACTTGTTTTTTTTTACACCTGCCATCCCCACCAAGGTATAGGGTGATTCAAAAAAGGAAACCCATTTACCATCATTCATTCACTAGTTGACTTGCCAGAAGTACACAGTAGACATGAGCATTCCAATGGTTCTTCAAACTGCAGTATCCCCACCTTTACTTCAGAGTGCAGGCACTGCACCTCCAGGACTAAAGTTTCATCTCATTCTTTTAAACTGTACAAATTGATGCCTCATTTAGACCATAGGCTTGCACTGTCTCCATCATGCCTGCACAACTTTTAAACTTATCTAGGATCTCGCATTTCTTCAAAACTCCAAGACTTTCATGCTTATGCTTCTTATTTGCTCTTCCACTATCACTTGCATTCCTCTGACATGGGAAAATGAAAAGATAAAAAATCGATTCACTAACACAGGGCAGAGTATGACATGGGATACTCATGCACAAAGAACTGACGGCATGGGAGGTTGTGCACATTAACAGTGCAATAGGCATCTTCCATCAGACAATGGCCTCACCCCCAGACTCACTATGAGACAGAAGGAAAAATGATCCACAGGGTATCATATTTTCTCATAAATTTATTCTATGCTCAATGATAAATATGGCTTGTTCATTGAAAACATACCACAATTTTCTAACAGTGTTGTGGCAAAAATGTGTTAATGGATTGCTTGTTAATCAGCAGTATTCTTTATTCACACCACACATTGTTTTCAAATGTGACATCTCCACTGCCTCTAGCCTCCTCCTCAGTGCAATGTTTAAAGCCCATACCTCTCATTCATATAAGTGTTGGTACCACTTTATTTGGGTATATTCCTCTCTCTGTCTCCCCAGAGGCAACATTGTTGCTATAACGATATGAAAAATATTTGTTAGACAAGTATGTCTTTAATAAGATGCCAGGATGAAATTGCTTGTTTTTTCTTATTTTACAGAGCTTGACATATTAATCTCTGCTGTTTTAGCAACTTATGCCATTTGTGAATTGTTTAATGTCTGACAATGATGGTAACTCATTGCACATGTACAATGCACTCATATACAGCACATGTCAGCTGTTGTATAGTAGTTGAGTGAATACTACCTGGAGTTTACCTGGGTCAATGCCCCAGCAGTCTGGTCTGAGACCAGGCCTCATGGATATGTAAAAATATCTTGAAAATCATTGCACAGTTAATATACAGTACTGTACTATGAAAAATAATGTAATAAAGTTAACAGAATGAAGTGCTAGTTATTAACCATTATATTTTTCTAAAGGAGTGGGTCACCTACACGTCAGTTGAGCTACTTAACTGACCTGCTATGGCGAGTGGTGTGTTATGCTCGTAGTGGGAGTGTGAGACCGTCCCTCTTGAGCCTAGCACTGCTGTCCCTTGAATTGGATGCTTCAACTCCTGAGCCAGGCTTGATGCTATGGCTCCAGGCTCTCACACAGGTAGATGTTTTAGAAATTAAGTTAGCACTGCTGCCTTTAGATGGTCTGTCTGCAGTGTACAGTTAATATCTGACTATTAAGTGCTATTGTGATGATTGCATGTGAAATGTTCTAGCAAAGTTCATGTAGACCAGATCTGTTTTTGTGTTCCTCCATAACCTTCATAATTTATGATGATTTAGTAGATGTGGAAAAAACAATCTTCCTGCTCTAAAACCAAAAACCAATGGCTTTTACCAATCCTGATGGCTATTAATAAAATATTACAGGTGAGTGACAGTGAACTTGCCAATGGTCGAGAATTGGTACAGGAGCTCTTAGGAGAAGAATTTTACCAACCACAAACTCTCCACACCCCATCAACGAACACCCAGCACATTCCTCCTTCCAGACCCAATAAACGAAAAGTTACACAGTCACTAAAACAAGATGATGATGTGTATGTAGATATCAAGAAACTCTACGCTTATGAAAAGGTTTGTCATAGAATGTGTTACATAGACATTTTTCCAGCAGCTTTCGATATGGTAAATAACAAGAATATAAGAGTAGTTTTAGTGTGAAAGAATAAGCATTTATACACAGTAGAGTACTGTACATATGTATTTTAGTAGAAGAATAATGTATTTACTCTTTTATGAAAATGTGAAAATCATTCATTTTTATGGATGAGAATTTAACTGGAATGGGATGACTAATATATTTTATATTTTTTTTTATACTGTACTAAATCAAGTTCATTTTGTAGACAATTACGTATATACTTTACTACAATTACACATTCAGACAGTTTCCCAGGCTTACATTATTAATTTCTGAACCTGGAGAAAAATTGTTTTGCAAAGCTGAATTGATCAAGAGAAAAAGAAATAGATTATTAATAAATATTACCAAGGTGGGTAGTTATAAAAGGTCTACTAGGTATGTAGAAGAAAAACAAAAAAAATTGTATGAGAATGAAAGTGGAGGAATTATGCAGGCACAAACCTAGCACTCCTGGCACACAATTCATGCATCAGTGATTTCACCTTCTTTGAGTCCCATTTTGAGTCAATTTTATTGCTCTGTTTGACAAAATTCTTGGCTATTTCACTATTATGTCTTCTGTTCTATTGATTGAGCACAAGAAATTGCCCAATCAATTATTACATCTAAACTATAAAGTGCACAGCAGTCAGAAATTTGGCCAATTTTACAAGAAATAAAATGCCAGTTTAAAAATAGATGGCAAAATAAACAATGTAGACATTCCTGGCATTAAAATATTTTTTTTTGTTCATTAATCATGTCCCCAGGCCTCTCCTATACATGTATTACACTTATTTTCCATTTTAATTCAAAATCACACAAAAATAGAAGATTTGCTCTATTTCTTGGATAATAATATATGATGAGGAATGATTGGTCATAATTTACAGCATCTCCATAATTGAATCGGACCTATTAAAAACCCCTCAAATAGACTGCAGGTGTAGAGGAGCCTTACCTGTCTTCAGGAATATTGGCAGAAATCGAATACAGTGGACCCCCGGTTAACGATTTTAATCCGTGCAAGAGGGGTAATTGTTATGCGAAATAATCGTTATGTGAATGAATTTTCCCCATAAGAAATAATGGAAATAAAATTAATCCGTGCAAGACACCCAAAAGTATGAAAAAATTTTTTTTTTTACCACATGAAATATTAATTTTAATACACACAAACTGAAAAAGGCATGCACACTTACATGACACTTACTTTTATTGAAGATCTGGTGATGATTGATGGGATGGGAGGAGGGGAGAGCATTATCTTCTTACTGTTTAGAAGGGGAATCCCCTTCCATTAGGACTTGAGGTAGCAAGTCCTTTTCTGGGGTTACTTCCCTTCTTCTTTTAATGCCACTAGGGCCAGCTTCAGAGTCACTGGACTTCTTTCGCACAAGATATCTGTCCATAGTGGCCTGTACCTCTCGTTCCTTTATCACTTCCCTAAAGTGTTTTCACAACATTGTCAGTGTACAGGTTGCCAACACGGCTTGCAATAGCTGTGTGAGGGTGATTTTCATCCATGAAGGTTTGCACTTCAAGCCACTTTGCACAGATTTCCTTTATCTTTGTAGTAGGCAACTTCTTCAATTTCTCTCTCCCCTCCTCTGAACCAGTTTCCCCAGGTCTGGCCTCTTGCTCTTGAAGTTGATCTATCAGCTCATCAGTGGTTAGTTCTTCATTGTCCTCCTCCACCAACTCTTCCACATCCTCCCCACTAACCTCCAACCCCAAGGACTTTCCCAATGCCACAATGGATTCCTCAACTGGCACAGGATTCTCAGGGTTAGCCTCAAACCCTTCAAAATCCCTTTTGTCTACACATTCTGGCCACAGTTTCTTCCAAGCAGAGTTCAAGGTCCTCTTAGTCACTTCCTCCCAAGCCTTACCTATAAGGTTTACACAATTGAGGATATTAAAGTGATCTCTCCAAAACTCTCTTAGAGTCAGTTGAGTTTCTGAGGTCATTACAAAGCACCTTTCAAACAGAGCTTTTGTGTACAGTTTCTTGAAGTTGGAAATAACCTGCTGGTCCATGGGCTGCAGGAGAGGAGTGGTATTAGGAGGCAAAAACTTCACCTTAATGAAGCTCATGTCCCCATAAAGTCGCTCTGCCACGTCTGTAGGATGACCAGGGGCATTGTCTAACACCAGGAGGCACTTAAGTTCTAATTTCTTTTCAGTTAGGTAATCTTTCACATTGGGGGCAAATGCATGGTGTAACCAGTTATAGAAAAATTCCCTAGTGACCCATGCCTTACTGTTTGCCCTCCACAGCACACACAAATTATCCTTGAGGACATTCTTTTGCCTGAACGCTCTGGGAGTTTCAGAGTGATACACTAATAAAGGCTTCACTTTGGAATCACCAGTAGCATTGGCACACATGAGAAGAGTAAGCCTGTCTTTCATAGGCTTATGTCCTGGGAGTGCCTTTTCCTCCTGAGTAATGTAGGTCCTGCTTGGCATTTTCTTCCAGAACAGGCCTGTTTCATCACAATTAAACACTTGTTCAGGTTTCAGTCCTTCAGTTTCTATGTACTCCTTGAATTCCTGCACATATTTTTCAGCCGCTTTGTGGTCCGAACTGGCAGCCTCGCCATGCCTTATCACACTATGGATGCCACTACGCTTCTTAAATCTCTCAAACCAACCTTTGCTGGCCTTAAATTCACTCACATCATCACTAGTTGCAGGCACTTTTTTAATTAAATCGTCATGCAACTTCCTAGCCTTTTCACACATGATCGCTTGAGAGACGCTATCTCCTGCTAGCTGTTTTTCATTTATCCACACCAATAAGAGTCTCTCAACATCTTCCATCACTTGCGATCTTTGTTTCGAAAACACAGTTAAACCTTTGGCAAGAACAGCTTCCTTGATTGTCTTTTTGGTGCCCACAATAGTAGCGATGGTTGATTGGGGTTTCTTGTACAACTTGACTAGGTCGGCGATACGCACTCCACTTTCATACTTATCAATGATCTCTTTCTTCATTTCAATGGGTATTCTTACCCTTATTGGTGTACGGTTGGCACTAGAAGCTTTCTTGGGGCCCATGGTCACTTATTTTCCAGAAACAGCACCGAAAACACTGTAATAATACGAAATATTCCGAGTGTATGCTTGGATGTTAGCGCGGAGGCTGGCTGGTAAACAATGGCACGGGCGGCACATGTGAGGCTGGCTGAGGGCGCACATTGGACGTGTCTCGGACGAAAATCGGTGAGCGGGTTTTTAATCGGTATGCGCGGCAAAAATTTTGCGATTAAAGTAAGCGGTATGCGAAATAATCGCTATGTGATGCCATCGTTATGCGGGGGTCCACTGTATATCTGCTACTTTGAGACCAATTTCAAACTACTTCTGATTCTGAAACCAACAAAAATCATCTCTATTTTTGTAGTATGCCTTCTATTCGTTGATTTGATACCAAAAAAACAGCCAATAAAACTAAAAATTAAAAACTGTCCTAGAACACACCTCAAAGTTGCTATTTAACCCTTCGAGGGTCCGTCCCGTAGATCTACGGCTTTACGTTCAGGGTCCAAACCGTAGATCTACGTCATGAGCTCAGCTCACTCTGATAAACTGTGACTGGTACATTTGGGCCTAGATATGAGAGAATACATCTATGTGGTATGTGTGCACCACATAAAACAGATCCTACAGCACGCTGTGTATAATGAGAGAAAAAAAATGAAATCATGATTTTTCGATTAAAACAGCGACTTTGCAGTGTTTTTTCGTATGTTTTTTATAGTTCTATTTGCGATTTCTTGGTCTCATTTGATAGAATGGAAGACATATTACAGAAATAGAGATGATTTTGATTGGTTTTAGCACTGGAAATGGCTTGAAACTGAGCTCAAAGTAGCAGAAATGTTAAATTTTTGCCGATATTCAAGAGTAAACAAATGACCTCACAAGTCTAATACACGCCAGCTGGTGGGTCTAATATACATTCACAAATATGGTGATGATATTTATACAATTATTACAGTATTGCATAACAGTAAATCTTCTATTTTTTGGTGTGAATAAAAATTCATTATGTGAATAAAAAATCAAAATGGAATTTATTTGTAAAGCCTCGAAACATAACTAATGAACAGAGGAAATGTTAGTTTAGTGCCAGGAATACCTACATTGTTTATTCTGGACCCTATTTTGAAATTGGAATATTTAGAACTTTGTGTTAAATTGGCCAAATTAACAATTTCCGATCACTTTAATTTGTAGTTGAAACAGTTGACTTGGCGATTTCTTGTGCTCAATCGATAGAATAGAAGTAATACTAGTGAAATAGCTAAGAATTTGGTTGACTGGAATAATGTAATTGGCCTAAAATGGGAGTCAAAGTCGGCAAAATCGCCGATTCGTAAATATCGCTGACACATCAAAATTCGCGAGAGCATAATTTCGTCAATTTTCCAACAAATTTCGTACTTTTTGTTTTATTACCTTCAAAAAAAGATTCTCTACCATTTCATAAGAAAAAATAAATTTTTTTTTTGAAAATTCTTGGACACTGGGGCACCACTTCAGATTTGGGCCTTGGACCCTGAAGGGGTTAAAAAAAAAAAAAACACATGGTCAGAGTTTTGCTTTCCCATCATGCACAGTATGGGGCCAGTTTTTTTTTACTGTGCACACTCACCGTGCAAGCCCATTCTCTCATATCTAGGTCAAAATTTACCACTCACAGCTTGTCTGAGTGAGCTGAGCTCATGATGTAGGACTGCATTAGAGGCCCTGGCCTTGGTGATGTATTACTATGTGATGACCACTGGAAGGGTTAAAAGGACTTGAAAGAATTAAAAAAATATAATACAAGTGGTACCTTGACTTAGGAGTTTAATTCATTCCATGACCAAGCTCAAACTCAATTTGCTCGTATATCAAATCAATTTTCGTCATTGAAATTAATTAAAAATGTCATTAATCCGTTCCAGCCCCCCAAAAAACACCCAAGGGGCAGGAGAAAATACGTCAATATAACACTAAAGATCAGCTCTACGCCCTTATTTATCTATCAGAATTGATCTGATATGACATAATAAACACTAAGTAACATAGAAACATGATAAAATACTATAGAATGACTAAAATTGGCCATAATATGGCAAGTGTCCAGGACCAGTCCAAGAATATAAAATCATTACTGCTCATTCCTATAATGTGTTCTTTGGTCCTGGGTAATAGAAAACAGAGTTTTTTTAGAGGCTAACGTGCTAGATCACTAGTGCAGTGATATATGAATATCTTGGAAGTAAGTTATTAACTTATTTCATGAAGCCCATCATTTATTATTGAAGTAAATGCAATAATATTGACAGGAATGATAAAAAAATGATTGTTCTACTTTTTACTTGTGGAATATTGGAAATATTCTAGATATTTTGGGATTTGTGATATTTTGCACATATCAAAAAACTTAGCAACTTTATTTTTTTGTAGAATAACTAAAAATAATTACATGATTACCTCCAGTGAGAACATCACACTAACACTGTTTTTTTAAGTACCAAGTCCCACAACCACCTTTTGTTGTGATATTTAGGCTGGGGTTCTTGCCAAATGTCATTTTCAGTTAATATTTTTTTTTTTCAGTAAATGGTTGTTTTTTCGCACCCTAACTCGGGTTTTGGCTCACAACCCGGAGCAAAAAATCGACCAAGCGATAGCTCATAACTCGGAAAACTTGTAAGTTGGGGGGACTCATAAGTCAAGGTACCACTGTAATTTATATTCTAGTTTTTAATGCCGTGTACTGAAAGTGATATAGATGCCGCTCAAAGGGGAAAAATGAGGAGAAAAAGATTCCACAGACAAGCAAACTGGCTGGCAACTGTAATGACACTGACAACACACAGTATGAGCATCAAGAAATTTTTTATTATTATTATTATTAACACATCAGTCATTTCCCACCAAGAAAAACTTTTATCATCACTCACTCCATCACTGTCTTGCCAGGGGTATGCTTACACTACAGCTATAAAACTGAAACCATTAACACCCCTCCTTCAGAGTGCCTGCACTGTACTTCCCATGTCCAGGAATCAAGTCCCTCCAACCTTCCCTAGGATGACCCCTACCTCGCCTTCCCTCCACTCGAAGTCATTCTATTTCGTTCTATCCTCTTTACATGTCCAAACCATCTCAGTAACCCCTCCTCAGCCCTCTGGATAATAGTTTTGGTAATCCCACACCTCTTCCTAATCTCCAAACTGCGGATTCTCTGCATTATATTCACACCACACATTGCTCACAAACATGACATCTCCACTGCCTCCAGCCGCCTTCATGTTGCAACATTCACAACCCATGCCTCATACCCATACAAGAGTGTTGGTATAACCATACTCTCATACATTCCCCTCTTTGCTTTCATGGATAAAGTTCTTTGTCTCCACAGACTCCTCAGTGCACCACTCACTTTTTTTCCCTCATTAATTCTATGATTCACCTCATTCTTCATAGACCCATCTGCTGACACATCCACTCCCAAATATCTGAACACATTCACCTCCTCCATACTCTCTCCCTCCAATCTGATATCCAATCTTCCGTTACCTAATTTTTTTGTTATCCTCATCACCTTACTCTTACCTATATTCACTTTTAATTTCCTTCTTTTACATATCCTACCAAACTCATCAGCCAACTTCTGCAACTTCTCTTCAGAATCCCCCAAAAGCACAGTGTCATCAGCAAAGAGCAACTGTGAAACTCCCACTTTCTGTTAGATTCTTTATCTTTTAACCCCACACCTCTTGTCAACACCCGAGCATTCACTTCTCTTACAACTCCATCTATAAATGTATTGAACATCCATGGTGACATCACACATCCCTGTCTAAGGCCTATTTTTACTGGGAAATAATCTCCCTCTCACCTGCATAATCTAACCTGAGCCTTACTATCCTCGTAACAACTTTTCACTGCTTTCAATAACCTACCTCCTCTTCCATACATCTGCAACATCTGCTGCATTGCCACCCTATCCACCCTATCATATGCCTTTTCCAAATCCATAAATGCCACGAAAACCTCTTTACCCTTATCTAAATACTGTCCACCTATATGTTTCACTGCAAACACTTGGTCTACACACCCCCTACCCTTCCTAAAGCCTCCTTGTTCATCTGCTATCCTGCTCTCCATCTTACTCATAATTCTTTCAATGATAACTCTACCATGCACTTTACCAAGTATACTCAACAGACTTATTCCCCCATAATTTTTACACTCTCTTTTGTCCCCTTTGTCTTTATACAATGGAACTATGCATGCTCTCTGCCAATCCCTAGGTACCTTACCCTCTTCCATACATTTATTAAATAACAGCACTAACCACTCCAAAAACTATATCCCCACCTGCTTTTGCCATTTCTGTCTTTATCCCATCAATCCCACCTGCTTTACCCCCTTTCATTCTGCTCACTGCCCCATGCACTTCCTTCATACTCACAACTGGTTCTTCCTCACTCCTATAAGATGTTATTCCTCCTTGCCCTATACACGAAATCACAGCTTCCCTATCTTCAACATTTAACTGTTCCTCAAAATATTCCCACCATCTTCCCGATACCTCAGACTCCCCATTTAATAACTCCTATTTTTAACTAACAAATCCATTCTTTCCCTAGGCTTTCTCAACTTATTAATCTCATTCCAAAACTTTTTCTTATTTTCAACAAAATTTGTTGATAACATCTTACCCACCCTTTCATTTGCTTCAAGAAAATATAACTTCATAAAGTGGTGCTGTAGCATGAATTCTCTTTTAATATAAAATAATTTTTTTTGTTAACAAGTGACTTGCCTTTTAATTTTCGTACTATATTTCATTTTGTTCAGACTCGAGGTGCAACAGCGATAACTGTCAAGGGTCCCCCAGATAGTCAAGAGGAATTGGATGAAACATATATTGATATTCGTCATCTTTACTCCTCACCTGTTCCATTGAAAGATGAATCTCTTCAGTCATCCCAGCTGACATTAATCAAAACTCCCAATTGCAAAAAGAACTGTAGCTCAAAGAAAAAGAAGAAAATTAAGCCAACATTTAAAGCCAAGGCAACAGTGAGGAGTTCTCTTAAACAAACACTCAAAATTCCCTGTAAAATTTCATTGATTGCTACCAAGAAGATATTTGAAGAACCTTGTGATGAGGAAGAGGAGGAGGAGGAAGAGATTGATATGGAATATGAAGATCACAACCAAGACTGGGAAGGACCACTTATTGAACCAGCAGGACTCCTCAAATCACCTGTTTTCTCCCCCACAAGTCCAGAGTTTCCTGACATTCGACATCTAGTTGTTAAGAAAGAAGGTAAGTGTAGCTTTGCTTTTGTGTTTATGCAAAAGTTTATTTTTATTTATTATCACACTGGCCGATTCCCACCAAGGCAGGGTGGCCCGAAAAAGAAAAACTTTCACCATCATTCACTCCATCACTGTCTTGCCAGAAGGGTGCTTTACACTACAGTTTTTAAACTGCAACATTAACACCCCTCCTTCAGAGTGCAGGCACTGTACTTCCCATCTCCAGGACTCAAGTCCGGCCTACCGGTTTCCCTGAACCCCTTCATAAATGTTACTTTGCTCACACTCCAACAGCACGTCAAGTATTAAAAACCATTTGTCTCCATTCACTCCTATCAAACACACTCACGCATGCCTGCTGGAAGTCCAAGCCCCTCGCACACAAAACCTCCTTTACCCCCTCTCTCCAACCTTTCCTAGGCCGACCCCTACCCCGCCTTCCTTCCACTACAGACTGATACACTCTTGAAGTCATTCTATTTCGCTCCATTCTCTCTACATGTCCGAACCACCTCAACAACCCTTCCTCAGCCCTCTGGAAAACAGTTTTGGTAATCCCGTACCTCCTCCTAACTTCCAAACTACGAATTCTCTGCATTATATTCACATCACACATTGCCCTCAGACATGACATCTCCACTGCCTCCAGCCTTCTCCTCGCTGCAACATTCATCACCCATGCTTCACACCCATATAAGAGCGTTGGTAAAACTATACTCTCATACATTCCCCTCTTTGCCTCCAAGGACAAAGTTCTTTGTCTCCACAGACTCCTAAGTGCACCACTCACTCTTTTCCCCTCATCAATTCTATGATTCACCTCATCTTTCATAGACCCATCCGCTGACACGTCCACTCCCAAATATCTGAATACATTCACCTCCTCCATACTCTCTCCCTCCAATCTGATATTCAATCTTTCATCACCTAATCTTTTTGTTATCCTCATAACCTTACTCTTTCCTGTATTCACCTTTAATTTTCTTCTTTTGCACACCCTACCAAATTCATCCACCAATCTCTGCAACTTCTCTTCAGAATCTCCCAAGAGCAGTGTCATCAGCAAAGAGCAGCTGTGACAACTCCCACTTTGTGTGTGATTCTTTATCTTTTAACTCCACGCCTCTTGCCAAGACCCTCGCATTTACTTCTCTTACAACCCCATCTATAAATATATTAAACAACCACGGTGACATCACACATCCTTGTCTAAGGCCTACTTTTACTGGGAAAAAATTTCCCTCTTTCCTACATACTCTAACTTGAGCCTCACTATCCTCGTAAAAACTCTTCACTGCTTTCAGTAACCTACCTCCTACACCATACACTTGCAGCATCTGCCACATTGCCCCCCTATCCACCCTGTCATACGCCTTTTCCAAATCCATAAATGCCACAAAGACCTCTTTAGCCTTATCTAAATACTGTTCACTTATATGTTTCACTGTAAACACCTGGTCCACACACCCCCTACCTTTCCTAAAGCCTCCTTGTTCATCTGCTATCCTATTCTCCGTCTTACTCTTAATTCTTTCAATAATAACTCTACCATACACTTTACCAGGTATACTCAGCAGACTTATCCCCCTATAATTTTTGCACTCTCTTTTATCCCATTTGCCTTTATACAAAGATCTATGCATGCTCTCTGCCAATCCCTAGGTACCTTACCCTCTTCCATACATTTATTAAATAATTGCACCAACCACTCCAAAACTATATCCCCACCTGCTTTTAACATTTCTATCTTTATCCCATCAATCCTGGCTGCCTTACCCCCTTTCATTTTACCTACTGCCTCACGAACTTCCCCCACACTCACAACTGGCTCTTCCTCACTCCTACAAGATGTTATTCCTCCTTGTCCTATACACGAAATCACAGCTTCCCTATCTTCATCAACATTTAACAATTCCTCAAAATATTCCCTCCATCTTCCCAATACCTCTAACTCTCCATTTAATAACTCTCCTCTCCTATTTTTAACTGACAAATCCATTTGTCCTCTAGGCTTTCTTAACTTGTTAATCTCACTCCAAAACTTTTTCTTATTTTCAACGAAATTTGTTGATAACATCTCACCCACTCTCTCATTTGCTCTCTTTTTACATTGCTTCACCACTCTCTTAACCTCTCTCTTTTTCTCCATATACTCTTCCCTCCTTGCATCACTTCTACTTTGTAAAAACTTCTCATATGCTAACTTTTTCTCCTTTACTAGTCTCTTTACATCATCATTCCACCAATCGCTCCTCTTCCCTCCCGCACCCACTTTCTTGTAACCACAAACTTCTGCTGAACACTCTAACACTACATTTTTAAAACTACCCCATACCTCTTCGACCCCATTGCCTATGCTCTCATTAGCCCATCTATCCTCCAATAGCTGTTTATATCTTACCCTAACTGCCTCCTCTTTTAGTTTATAAACCTTCACCTCTCTCTTCCCTGATACTTCTATTCTCCTTGTATCCCATCTACCTTTTACTCTCAGTGTAGCTACAACTAGAAAGTGATCTGATATATCTGTGGCCCCTCTATAAACATGTAAAATCCTGAAGTCTACTCAACAGTCTTTTATATCTACCAATACATAATCCAACAAACTACTGTCATTTTGCCCTACATCATATCTTGTATACTTATTTATCCTCTTTTTCTTAAAATATGTATTACCTATAACTAAACCCCTTTCTATACAAAGTTCAATCAAAGGGCTCCCATTATCATTTACACCTGGCACCCCCAAACTTACCTACCACACCCTCTCTAAAAGTTTCTCCTGCTTTAGCATTCAGGTCCCCTACCACAATTACTCTCTCACTTGGTTCAAAGGCTCCTATACATTCACTTAACATCTCCCAAAATCTCTCTCTCTCCTCTGCATTCCTCTCTTCTCCAGGTGCATACACGCTTATTATGACCCACTTCCTCGCATCCAACCTTTACTTTAATCCACATAATTCTTGAATTTACACATTCATATTCTCTTTCCTCCTTCATAACTGATCATTCAACATTACTGCTACCCCTTCCTTTGCTCTAACTCTCTCAGATACTCCAGATTTAATCCCATTTATTTCCCCCACTGAAACTCCCCTACCCCCTTCAGCTTTGTTTCGCTTAGGGCCAGGACATCCAACTTCTTTTCATTTCATAACATCAGCAATCATCTGTTTCTTGTCATCCGCACTACATCCACCCACATTTAAGCATCCCAGTTTTATAAAGTTTTTCTTCTTCTCTTTTTTAGTAAATGTCTACAGGAGAAGGGGTTACTAGCCCATTGCTCCCGGCATTTTAGTCGCCTCATACGACACACATGGCTTACGGAGGAAAGATTCTTTTCCACTTCCCCATGGACAATAGAAGAAATAAAGAAGAACAAGAGCTATTTAGAAAAAGGAGAAAAACCTAGATGTATGTATATATATATGCATGTGCATGTCTGTGAAGTGTGACTTAAGTGTAAGTAGGAGTAGCAAGATATCCCTGTTATCTAGCGTGTTTATGAGACAGAAAAAGAAAACAGCAATCCTACCATCATGCAAAACAGTTACAGGTTTCTGTTTCACAGTCATCTGGCAGGACGGTAGTACTTCCCTGGGTGGTTGCTGTCTACCAACCTACTACCTGAGTTTATTATTTTACTTATAGCACATTAACCTCAGTTCATGAGAGGTCAAGGCTAGTAAAACTAACCTTGACCTCAACTAACTGGAACTACCCTCTCCTTCCTCAGATGGTCTGATTACCCCATATACCCCAGATGCTATGTGACCCAGTGGATTGAACACTGCCTATGATTATAATTTGTAAACTTTGTTGAATAGAAAGAAGGGCACTTTAGTGTGCAAAGAGGTTAAGGATTTCTTTGGCATAGTTAGGTACGAGTGAGAGTACTAAAAGTAATTATTTTGTAAAGTAAAGCATCAGTAGCCTTTTCACTTTGCAGACACCAGATCAACGAATAGTAATTGTGTCTTCCACGTTTTACAAAATGGAAAAATATTTACTGTGTACATTATTTTTTAAAGTTATACCATGAACAGTAGTTGATGCTAAACTATGTCATACTCTTATACTTGTGAATTATACAAGGAGGACAGAGTTCTGCATGTTATGGTTTCTTAGGAAATTTAATGGAGCCTCGGAGTACACATGAAAATCATAAAGTACTGTAATTGTTAGTTTGTATGTTTTCTTTGCTGCAGTATTATGTACCATACCTTGAAAAAACTATGTACAGTGGAACCTCAAATATCGAACTTTCTTTGTTCCAGAAGGCTGTTTGAGTGCCTTTACCGAATGAATTTATTCCCATGAGGAATAATGTAAATTAGGTTAGTCCATTTCAGACCCTCAAAAATACACTTATAAAAGCACTTACAAAAATACACTTACATAATTGGTTGTGTTGGGAGCAGTTCGATTTTTGAGGTTCCACTGTATTTGTACTTACTGTACTGTATTCAAATAATTCGGTAGAGTGAACCAATTTTTATGTAATAAGGCTGAATGTCTTTAATCACTTAATAAATTTGTATTATTATCTTTAACAGATATGTGTTGGCACCAACATGCTCAAGAGGTTGCTGAGCAGGTGTACCGCCCATTAACCTATGCCCAAGTGTTGCGCCTTCACCTCACGCCCCTTACTCGAGCCCTTGGTGTATAGAGCATCCTATCCTTACAGGTTCTTTTGTGACATGCTAAAGAAAATATTGTTATTAGTGGGACACTACCTACAAATCCTATTGTGCAGTTCAATAGTTGTCTTGATTGAATTTTCTTTGATAGCCACTTAAGTACCAATACATTGTCTGGTTGCTATGTAAAATCTTATATTTGACCAAGAATATTGTCATGTAAGTTTTCAATCACTGCCAGGTCCTCAGGTGGCAGTATATCATGCTTTAGTATAAATCTGAACCTTCTTTGTATAGGTACCATAGAGGCACTGATTGCAAATTGCAGTCAGTTACCTTTTCCTCCCATAGATAAAACTGTTCATATAGAATTAAAATTCTTCCTCATGCTCAATTATATTATGTAAAAAATCATACATTAGGTAATCAAATATTCCCACTAGTCAATTTTTTTTTTCTTCAAAAAAAATGGCCTTCATTTAAATTTTTTAATATTGTATAAAGTAAAGAAACATTACTTTAAATATAAAATATCAAACCAATATTCCAATAATTTTTTTATACATATGATATCTGAAGAAAACATTTTGCAAATAAAGGTAACGAATATTAAGTTTCATAAGTGTTATGTATTGTTGCATGGTGCTAGAGTCATAAATATGATACAGGTATTAAAGCCCTTGACATCTGCAAGTTATAAAATAACAAGGAATAAAAATGTTGTATAGAAAACTGTCTTTAAAAAGACATTAAATAGGGACCCCAAGAGGAGCTATGTACAAAAATTGCAATTATTACAGTGATATGTTTAAATATATTATAGTTAAGGGCTTCTCATTGATAACTTATTATATGTATACATAGTTTTTATGTATTTGATGTGTCAAAGCAAGGAGACTGAATTGTGAAATATAACCTCCTTGTATTCAACTGTTTATAGTACTGGATGTATGTAGCATAGTGCATTCCACTAATGTTTTATTATGTACAGTTTTAAATTATTTCAAGATGCTAACTTTTGTGTCAGTATAATTCATTACATGTATGTCCATTATCATTTGGTGCTTTATAGTTTATTCTTTCCTATTCAAGACCAAAATATTTTTTCTTAATAAGCCAACCTATTTTTATTAGTAACTATGAGGCTAGAGTATTATTTGTTGGTATTTACAAAGATTTTTACCTGAAGGCAGTGAGGATTTCCCTACCAATATTATCTGCTATGTAGCTAGTACAGTACTAGTATAAGATGAGTACCTGGTACTTAGAAAACCTTCCATTCCTATTTCACTCTTTATGACTCATTATAATTTAAATTTAAGCAACTAATACAGCAAAAGCATTCATCAGTGTTGTCTATAAGTAAAATACTGTACAGTATTTCAGTTTTAAGGCACTTGTACAGCACAGAGTGGTATTAACCCTCAAACATTTTGCTGTACATAAGAAATATTTACATGAGCCATTAAGGCTGGAAGTTTGTGTTTGATGCTGCTTGCTTTGACTATCTCTGCTATTCTAGTTGGTACAGTTACATGTAATTCTTGTACCTTCAGTTAATTATTCAGACAATCAAATCAAACTGATTGTTTGTGAATGCATGATCATGTGATTTTTGTTGATATACCAATACTAAAAGTATTGGTAATACGGTAACAGACATCTTTCAGTCCTAGATGAAAATGACGTTTACATAAAACATAAAGTCGAATACTGTCCGTTGCAATTCCTATTCTGTACATGTTTCAGACATGAATGAAAATAGAATTTACAGTACACATGAACAAAAACTTTTTGTTACGTTTATATTTTTATAACATCTTTGTTTTTAATTTGTTCATTATCATCACCTATGTTTTTCATAAATCATGAGCTAAGGCTCAAACAAGACCATAAGTATTAGTGTAACAAGAACTTGTTTTTATTACTGCACAATATGTAATGATAATTTAGTAACTTAAGAGTATGTTTGATATGTATGAGGTATTGGGAAAACAGAGGCTACTTTGATTGTGTACAATCCACTGATAGATGTTACTACAATTACTGTACTTACATTTTCTTTCACTTCAAATTTATTGAATATAATATATTTGCAGTATAACTGTTAGGATTCTTGATATGTTCTTGCTGTAATAACTTGAACTCTTACATACTGCAGTTCATTATCATTTAGAAGTTATATGCAATAATTTAGCTAGAAAGTTTATGTATCAAGCTAAAATAGATTAAGTTTCTTAAATGTCTTGTGTATATAAGTTTCTTCTGTTTTAAATGAGGTAGAGAATTAAGATGTTCGAGGATAGTAATAAACTATGACTAGGTGGTAATATAGATTCAACACTCTTTGAAGTATTACTCTTAGAAATCACATTTTGTGCATTATTAAGGACTATTTTTTCTTAATTTTTTCAGTAGGTCTTTTGAGTTCCTTATGCTGTTTTTGCTCAAGAGAAAATCTGAATACTTTAATCTTTGCTAGTCCATGAAGAAGCATTCTTTACAGAGTAGATCTTAATAGTATATAAAGTGCATTTATTCATTGGTGATACAAGTGCTGGGCTGTCCTTAGAAATAGAATGTATAGAAAAGGATGAATTGTTTGCAATTTGTCTGGTTTACCATGCATTATTATATATGTATAAATCATCATCTTTCTTCTTTCAACACACCGGTTGTATCCCACCGAGGCAAGGTGGCCAAAAAGGAAAAACGAAAGTTTCTCTCCTTTTAAATTTAGTAATATATACAGGAGAAGGGTTAGTCGCCTCTTACAACACGCATGGCTTACAGAGGAAGAACAATATTCCACTTCCCCATTGAGATAAGGGGAAATAAACCAGAACAAGAACTAGTAAGAAAATACAAGAAAACACAGAGGGATGTGTATATATATGCTTGTACATGTATATGTAGTGTGACCTAAGTGTAAGTAGAAGTAGCAAGACGTACCTGAAATCTTGCATGTTTATGAGACAGAAATAAGACACCAGCAATCCTACCATCATGTAAAACAATTACAGGCTTCCATTTTACACTCACTTGGCAGGACGGTAGTACCTCCCTGGGCGGTTGCTGTCTACCAACCTACTACCTACATGTATAAATCTTTTTACAAAATTTTTTCAAGTCATGCTGACCCTTCCAGGTTCAGTGCTTCATTTTGTTATAATAATAATTCTTGCTTTTCATTAGCTTTGAAAGGATGAATGTTAATTTCATTCTGTGATTGGACTATATGGTGTCGGGAAAATAATTGTATACATCATGGAGATACAGTGAAAAATTGAAAGATTTGGAGGAAATAAAAAAGTGTTTAACTGGTGAATATGAGTGACTGCATTGCAGGATATCTCTTTTTAGCTAATTTTTTAAAAAAGTGTTTCTAGTATTATAGAAATTTGAACAGTAGAGAATGGTGCTTATAATTTGCAAAGTTATTTGTGAATTTCATTATTTTCTCCAGCAGTGTGTAACTTATACACATGAATTATGTCAGTAATGACAAAATTGAGTGATGAAGATGGGACACCATGGCCATAGCTCTGCTCTTGTAACTACAAGTAATGACAAGTACAGTGTTTAACCCTTTCAGGGTCAACAGACCCTCTCCCAGACTTGTTCTCAGGGTCGACAAATTTTCAAAAAAAAAAAATTATTTTTTTCTTATGAAAAGATAGAGAATCTTTTCCCGATCATAATGACACCAAAAGTATGAAATTTGATGGAAAACTTAGGGAATTATGCTCTCGCAAAATTAGCGGTATTGATGATGTTTACGCATCGGCGATTTCGCCCACTTTGAGCCCTATTTTCGGCCAATTCCAGTGTACTAGTTGACAAAAATCATAACTATTTCGCTAGAACTCCATTTTTTCTATCGAATGAGTTCAAGAAACCACCCATTTACCGATTTCAACTATCCAATAAAGTGGTCAGAATTTAGCAATTTTGCCAATTTCACACAAATTTCAAAAGATGCCAATTTCCAAATAGGGTCCAGAATAAACAAGAAAGACATTCCTGGCACTAAACATTTCCTCTGTTCATTAGTCACGTCCCCATGCCCCTCTTACATTCTTTTGCTTTCCACTTTGAATTTTTTTTCTCACAAAAAATAGAAGATTTACTGTTATGCAGACTACTGCATTAGTGTAGAAATGGAATAAATAATATCAGCACACTTGTGGAAGAATATTAGCCTCACCAGTTGACGTGTATTGGACGCGCAGGATGATTTGTTTACTTTTGAACTTTGGCAAAAATTGAAGATTTCTGCTACTTTGAGCTCAATTTCAAGGTACGTTTCATTGTAAAACCAATCAAAATCATCTCAATTTCTGTAATATGTCTTCCATTCTATAAAATGAGACCAGGAAAACTAAAATACCATCATAAATACCATACGAAAATACCAAAAACAAAAACACCGTCAAAGTTTTTTTCCTCGTTACGCACTGTGTGCTGCAGGATTTTTTTTTATACTGTGCACACTGACCACATAGACCCATTCTTTCATATGTAGGCCTACCAGCTTTCTCTCACTGGATTTGAGGGCGCTAGAATTTAGGCGTACTAGTACAGTGGTCCCTCGTTTTTCTTAATTAATCCGTTCCTGGAGGAGCTACTATAAACAAAATTTACGATTTGCGAATCAATTTTCCCCATAAGAAATAATGTAAACACAGTTAATCCGTTCCTGACACCCAGAAGTATTAAAACAAAAAATTTTTTTACATGAAATATACATATAGTACATAAACAATACAATGGGAAATGATGAATGAAATATTAACAGCATAACACTTACCTTTATTGGAGATTCTTCTTAGTGTATGGGAGACTGGAGGAGGAGAGAGATTGGATTGTTTACAGTTTGGAAGGGGAATCCCCTTCCAGCAACACCTCAGGTACCAATTGCTTCTCTGGGGTTGCTTCTCTTCTCTGTTTCTTAATGCCACTAGGACCACCTTGAGAGTCACTCTAGTCCTGTCTCACAAAGTAACTGTGGAGAGAGCTCTGTTTCTGGCATCTCTTTAACACTTCCTTAAAATGGCCCAAGACTTTGTCACTACATATTTCTCACCTTCTTTACCACAGGCTTGGCACTAGGAGCTTTCTTTGGAGCCATGGTAGCTTATTTAGTAATTGCAAGCACTAAAATGAGTGGAATATTATGAAATATTTCGTAGGAGCACTTGAGGGGACCTTCACTCACTGGTAAACAATGCCAGACTGGCTGGGTAGGGAGGCTGCCCCGGCTCACACCGTGCGTACGCGTCCCGGATGAACTACTATTCGCGAGTCAACCTATGAAAAGCGAGTCCATGTTTATACGAAAATACCCCTATGATTGGCGAAATTTACGATTGCCGAGAACTACGAAAAGCGAGGGACCACTGTACGTGAAAAACCCTGGTGCGTAAGCTGTACTATTACGTCAGAAACCCTGAAAGGGTTAACACACACACACACACACACACATGTACACACTCGTGTGCTCTCGTTTTTTCTTTTTTCCAAGAGATTTTTGGTGCCACTTTAGTGGAGCTAAACTAGCTTTCTTAGTGAATTTTCATAAGTTTGTTTATTATGCCTGACCCAACATGTGTAAAACCAATAGAAAAAAAAAGTGAGCATGAAAATAATTATGCTAAGTTAGTAGAATCAATTCTAAGGTAGAAAAATAATTAAGATTTAGATGTCATATGAAGTCAGATGGGGGGAAATAGAAAAGAAGAAAAATATTTCTCGAGTTAGATGCCATATGAAGTAAAATAGGAAATAGAAAAGAAGAAAAAAAAAGTTTTCACATGACAAGAAACTCGAAGAATGAAGACAGAATTATGTAAATTCAAGATGGATGAAGGTTATGTTAGTACACACAGTGATATAAATTAAAGAAGTAAAGGAAGAGAGTGCCCTGGCTAACATAAATAAGAGAGATTAAAAATGAAATTGAAAATTAGCATAACTTGAAAAAATATCAACAGAAACAAAACTGTTACCATTTTGACTGATAGAACATAAATGTATCAAGAGAAAGAGGAAAAAAAGTACAGGAAATTGGTGAGATCACAAAGTTCTTAACAGAAAATTATTTCAACAATGAAGAGCACATAGCAAAACGTAAATCTGAAACTGCAAGAAAGAGGAACAAACTGTAAAAAAGATAGGGACAAACCACTGTAAATAACATCTCTTCTGAATAAACAAAGAACTGCTACAGAGAGTCAAGGAGATAAACCAGAAAGATGATATGACATAACAATCAGACAAGATAAGACCTGTCATAGACAAAAGATAAACTGCCAAAAAAAAAATGTATATACAGTGGTTCACAATAAAAAATAATTTGTAAACTAAAAACATAAGAGGCATTAATAACAAATGATTACCATATACAGTGGACCCCCGGTATTCGATGGCATTGGTATTCGATAAATCCGGTATTCGATGCATTATATCGCAAAAAATTTTCCTCGGTATTCGATACGATTCGTACGAGACCTGTCCACATGTGGCCTGAACTGCCCCTTGTGTGCCAGTGTTTACAAGCCAGCCAGTGTGCGCGCATCTAAGGATACATTCGGTACATTTCATATTATCCATGTGTTTGGTGCTTGTTTCTGCAAAATAAGTCACCATGGGCCCCAAGAAAGCTTCTAGTGCCAACCCTGTGGTAAAAAGGGTGAGAATTAGTATGGAAATTAAGAAAGATTTTGAAGGGTTTGGGGCTAACCCTGAGAAGCCTATACCAGTTGTGGAATACATTGTGCCTACTTCAAAAATTAAGGAAATGTGTGCACAGTGGGTTGAAGTGCAAACCTTTATGGATGAAAATCACCCTAACACAGCTATTACAATGACAATGTTGTGGCCCATTTTAGACAAATCATAAAGGAACGGGAGGTACAGAGCTCTATGGACAGATTATTTGTGTGACAGAGGTCCAGTGACTCTCAAGCTGGTCCTAGTGGCATTAAAAGAAGAAGGAAAGTAACCCTGGAAAAGGACTTGCTACCTCAAGTCCTAATGGAAGGGGATTCCCCTTCTAAACACTAACACCTCTTCCCTCCTTCCATCCCATCAATCATCACCAGATCTTCATTAAAGGTAAGTGTCAATTATTTTATTGTTATTGTAATTATTCTGTTGCATTAAACTTAATATTTCATGTAGTAAAAATTTTTTTTTTCATACTTTTGGGTGTCTTGTATGGATTAATTTGATTTTCATTATTTCTTATGAGGAAAATTGATTCGGTTTTCGATATTATCGGTATTCGATGAGCTCTCAGGAATGGATTAATATCGAATACCGGGGGTCCACTGTAATGAATGAGAGATTATTTGGTTAATAGAAACAGGGATACAAAAGTAAACCTATTCAAAATACATTTTTCATAATTCACAATTTATTTCTATTAATCAGTGTCATCAACCAGGAATGTGCACAAATTTAGATTTTTTTTTTTTCAACAAACTGGCCGTATCCCACCAAGGCAGGGTGGCCCAAAAAGAAAAATGAAAGTTTCTCTTTTTAAATTTAGTAATTTATATGGGAGAAGGGGTTACTAGCCCCTTGCTCCTGGCATTTTAGGTGCCTCTTCCAACACGCATCGCTTACAGAGGAAGAATTCTGTTCCACTTCCCCATGGAGATAAGGGGAAATAAACAAGAACAAGAACTAGAAAGAAAATAGAAGAAAACCCAGAGGGGTGTGTGTATATATATGCTTATACATGTATGTGTAGTGTGATCTAATTGTAAGTAGAAGTAGCAAGACGTACCTGAAATCTTGCATGTTTATGAGACAGAAAAAAGGACACCAGCAATCCATCATGTAAAACAATTACAGGCTTTCGTTTTACACTCACTTGGCAGGACGGTAGTACCTCCCTGGGCGGTTGCTGTCTACCAACCTACTACCTAGATGAATCGGGAAAAAATCCTTACTATTTAAGCATAAGGATGGTGGAAAAGTGTGAATTTTGGTCTTAGCCAGGCTAAACCACTCAAGACCTGCCATAAGAAAAAACATTGTAGGAAAATGTAAACACCAGAGTCTTAGAAGAATTTGTGCTTTCTCCAATTCCTCTAATTTATATAACTGACTTTCCAGAAGGAACATATTTGCTGCTGCAACATTTGTATGCGAATAAAATGGAAATCCCTACAAGAAGTCCTTGATAAATTTGGGCAAATGAATTAATAGATGATGAAAGCTAAATGTTCATAATTGTTATGGAAATGGGAGAAAAGAACAGCAGATGATGCTAAAATGATATTAGCTGATAGAAGGAAAAGAGGAGACAATAACCTCAGTACATATAAAGTTAATACAAGCATACAAAAATATATTTCTTACTGCTATTAATGGAGATAGAGAAACAGACCACAGGTGTAGACTAAAAGTGATGCCAAAGGATAATAGAAAGTTTGTCTTTGCAAACTGTGGTAGACAGTGGAATTGGATACAAGAGGACATTGTAGGGCTACAACCACTGGAAACTTAAATTATCTATTGTATACAATACTGTATTAAACACTGAAGACAGAACCTATAAGCATAGCTGCTTTTGTAGATACAAATACATAGATTTCACAAATAAGCAAACATATACACACACATATTGAACACATACTCAGTACCTTTATAAAATGTTTCCACCGTACTTGAGAAAAGGGTTGATGTTGGATTGTATAGGGAATTGAAACCAAAGCCATTTTGTTATGTCTGTCAATAGTGTTGGTACCACCATATGCTTTATAATAAACCTTATTTTAAGCAAATTTTCCATCCTCTATAGTAATGCTCTTTAGTTTATACTTTATTCCCAATTTTTAGAATCTTTAACTCTTATAAATGTGAAACTGTATTTTATATACCTTTTCGCTGTCTCTTCTATTGAAGCATTACCTTTGTGTGTTTTAATTTTTCACGTTAGTTACCAACGGATAGTATACTTTGTTTACTGTTTTTTGAATAAAATGATCTCCATTCACTTAAAAGTACAAAAAAATCTTGATGTTCATGTAAAGAATGTATGAAGTACCTTAGAAGTGTTTATGTCTTTGATCTTAGTAGTTATAAAATATAGGAAAATGTAAGTAAGTATGAGAGTTAGAGTTTTGTAATCAGTCTTAAGGTGAACATATTTTACAAACTTTCAGGAATTTATATAAAAGTAGATAAATAATCTGTCGTAATATATATTTATATGAAGGGGGATTTTAATGACTTTCCATTATGAAGAACAAATTAGATAATGACTGCATGAGGAGCATAATATCTGAATATTGAATTTGTACATACAAAGTTACTGATGTAATGGTAAGGACAACTATAAAGAATATTTGAATTGGCTTAAAACATATTTTTTTATGTTAATCATTGATATTACAGAGTAATAAATAATAGACATTGGATTTAATTTTACTTGTACCTTTCACTAGTTTTTGTACCAAGAGGATGTTTGCTGGGCTCTCAGATTATTACAGTAATTACAATTTTCCTTCAAGATCCTGAAAATGTGTTTAGTAAAAGGGAAATTGTTATGATTTAAACTTTACAAGGAAAAAAGGAATGTATCTGAAAACTCATATGCTAGTAAAATAAAATTTGTTTGGATTTTTTTTTAATCAGGAGGGTTAGCCACCCAGGTTAACCCAAGAAAGTCAGTGTGTTATCAAAGACTGTCCTATTAATATTGAGGTCCTTCACTTTCACTCTTGTACCGCAGGATGTGACCCATGTAAGTAGACTAACAGCCAGGTACCTGCTTACTACTAGGTGAACAGGGACAGCAGGTGTAAGGAAACATGCCCCACATTACCACCCATGCTGGGGATTGAACCATGGAGACTCAGTGTTTCAATTTTGTTTCTATTGCTTTCTCTCTTATCACCTTAGCTTCCCCATCTTCAGAGAGAATCTGTTAGTGACCTTCATTTTCCTCTCTCAGCCCCTCTGCTCCCTTTCCTTCCTTCATTGTTTCTGCCCCTACTATCTTCCCTTTCATTTCCTCCATGATCTCCAACACTTTCATTTCCTCTTCAGCTTTAAGGCACTTTCTAAAGCCATATTATCCCTACTTACCTATTCTTCAACCTCTTCCATTACTGTGTTGAGTACTGCCTAAGGTTCCTTCCGAAGAGAATTGAGCTTCCCTTCAAACTCCTTCAGTATTCCCTTTTCCATGGTCCTTCAGCTTTTTATTTCCTCTTCTATCTTCAGGGCTTTCTTCTGCCATGTATGAGTGCATGCACAGATGAGAGTGAATGCTTGCATGTATCTGGCTGCTTAGAAGACTACATTAGCGATGTACAAATTTTACCTGCAGGTGGAAGATAAAACTTGGCGGCTTGAACAGCCTCTCAATTGGCCAGAGGACAGGAACTAGAGGAGGAGGAAATGATGAATTGAATGAAGAAGGAAATGAAGAAAAACTGGATGAGTAGTGGGAGAGAAAGTAACGATGAATTAAGCTAGAGTAGAGGAGAAAGCAACATAGTTCTGGGTGAAAGAAATGCAGTAAAATAGAGGGTGATGAGAGAAACCATTCTCTGTGCAAGATACCCATCATTATTGGTGAAGGGCTCTGGATTCAAGGAATTGGAGCAACCCCTCTTCATACGTGAATAAAACTTCATTACCTCCCATTTCTCAGTACGGGATTAAACAAGGTGGAAGAGGTAATAAGAGATTGTATATATGTTGGTAAAATTACCGACAATATGTAAAGTAAAAAGACAAGTGCAACTAATGTGACATTTTATTGTCACATTAGTTGCACTTGTGTCTACTTTACAGGTAATAAAAGGCAAGGAAGATGATTAGTCTCTCCGTGCCAAGTGCGACCCCGGCCCTGACACCTCAGGTGAAGCCTTAGGTGAGCTCAGCTCTGCCACACCTGATCTCACCACCTAAACCACCATCACCTTCCCAGGTATACATGTCAACCACTATCACCACATTGGGTATGTTTGTCAACCATTATCACTGCAGGGTATACATATCAACCACCATCACTGCTGGGTATATATAACCACCATCACTGCTTGGTATACATATCAACCAAGATCACTGCTGGGTATACATAACCAACATCACTGCTGGGTATACATAACCAACATCAGTCTATAGTTTACGTAGTACAGTTTTATAGTGCCTTGATATGAATGACCCATACGGGTTTACCGCTTCACATATACAAAGGTAATTTTCAAACTGGCTATAAAAGCAGGTGAAATAATTTAAGTTTTATTTCAGACTAAAGGACGAATGTGAATTGTTTTGCTGGTGAAGGGCTTTTGATCCAAGCAAATAAACCTTTCCTCCTTTTCCTCGGATCGAACCTGACTGCCTCCGATTCCTCATGGACTGCATGACCTCTGTGAGCCAGACACAGGTATGGTAGGATTGTGGACAGTGGAGTCAGAGTGCACATGCTGTGGATTCCATCTCACATTGGTCTTCAGATGCATGATAGAACTGATAAATTGGCTAAGCTGTATGCTTTCAAAGAGGGAGTAGATTACAATCTTGGCTTGTCAGGTAGTAGTTTGAGAACAATAATACGAAAAGAACTTCAACTGAATTTTATGGACTTAAGGCTCAGGGAGATTGACACCAGTGAGTCCTATCATCATTCTATCATGCAGGAGGAGCCACATGTCTATGGTGCATCCAACAAAATAAGCAGACTCTTGGATGTCACTACTGCCTGGCTCCGGCTGGGTTACAAGTATCTTTGGCAGGTTAAATCACCACCACCAGATGTAGACCAAACGAAATGTAAACTTTGCCAGATGGACTATTGTCACACCCTGCGTCATTATGTACTGGAGTGTGATAAAATTAATGAATTTAGAAACAACTCACTCAGAAGTGTTCAAGAAATGGCTAAGTATTTTATCCACAGTGGTATATTGCAGACCATTCTGGAGAAATACCCTGACTTTGCTAGCTGTAAATAAAGCATTACCACATGTGTGCATGTGTTGTGTGTGTGTGTGTGTGTGTGTGTGACTCAACAATCAATATTTGCACCAATAACTCACTACAGTTGTGACCGGGTGTGGAAGTGTGAATTGCTCATTACACTATAATTTGTTCATGATTGTAGCCATGTATAAACGTAAGTAACCATTCTTACAGTATTCATTACCTTTGTAACTTGTGAGTTCATTACCTTGTACCTAGTTCAGCCATCAAAACTTTGGGGCCCAGTCCCTGGACCCATTATGTACCTCTGTAATCTGTAAATACCTTTGTAACTTGTCATGATTGTGACTAGACCTATCTGGAGTTCATTACCTTTGTAAATTGTGAGTTCATTACCTTGTACCTAGTTCAGCCATCAAAACTTTGGGGCCTGGTCCCTGGACCCATTACGTACCTCCGTAATCTGTAAATACCTTTGTAACTTGTCATGATTGTGACTAGACCTACCTGGAGTTCATTACATTTGTAATTTGTGAGTTCATTACCTTTGTAAATTGTGAATTCATTACCTCTGTAACTTGCTCAGCTATCAAAACTTTGGAGTCCAGTCCCTGGACCAATTATGTACCTCTGTAATCTTTTGACTACCGCCCACAGGATGGGTATGGGGTGCATAATAAACATATTAAACTAACTAACCCCATGAAGCAAGTCAATAATAGTAATAATAATAATAATAATATATTACTACAAGTACAGTGGACCCCCGCATAACGATTACCTCCGAATGCGACCAATTATGTAAGTGCGTTTGTACGTGTAAGTTTGGGGGTCTGAAATGGACTAATCTACTTCACGATATTTCTTACGGGAACAAATTCGGTCAGTACTGGCACCTGAACATACTTCTGGAGTGAAAAAATATCGTTAACCGGGGGTCCACTGTACATGTACAAGGTATACAGACCATAGCTCACATAAATGACATACTACTACATAGAAAGTCGCTTGTTATACTGAACATTTCGGGCAAATTAGGTCAGTTTTGTCCCAGGATGTGACCCACACCATTCGACTAACACCCAGGTGCCTATTTTACTGCTAGGTGAACAGGGACAGAAGGTGTCTTATGGAAACTCATCCTAATGTTTTCCAGTCGTACCGGAGGAGATTCAAACTCCGGACCTAAAGTCATTTCCCGACCAACCGGGCTGTGGTTCGTACGTCGGTTTATGTGCGGCCAGCAGTAACAGCCTGGTTGATCAGGTCCTGATCTACCACGAGGCTTGGTCATGGACCGGGCCGTGGGGGCATTGACCCCCCGAAACATCCTCTAGATAATTTGGTTAATCTACTGGGGTCTATTTTAGGTTCTTCCCAGGATGCGACTAACTCCCAGACATCTATTCATTGTTACCCCTCAAGGGAGGTTCCTTGACGCTGGTGAGGGGCTCTTGATCTAGGGAATTGGATCTGTGCTCCAATTCCCTGAATTAAACCTGAATGCCTTCCAGCACCCCCCTCCCCCACAGGTACTATATAACCCCTACGGATTTGACGCACCACCATGATAAATAATATTCAATGCTAATTAAAAGGGCAGCAGGTTTTAGGAGACTTGCCCATACGTCCCTCCTCGTCGACGGGGTTCGACCCCCCGTCCTCTGGTGTGAGATCCCAGAACAATAGTAAGTTTATTCAGATATGCACATATACAGTCGCGTCGATTATCATACATAGCAGCATATGTGTACAGAACCTGGGATAACCCAACACTGGTCTCGTCACCGGAACTTTCACTGCACGCTAAGATCTTCAGCTGCCTGAGTTCCATCGTTTGATCTAGGGAACTGGATCTGTGCTCAAGTTCCCTGAACTGAGCCTGAATACCTTCCATCCCTCCCACATACGCTGTATAACCCTATGGGTTTAGTGCTTCTCTGTGATTAAAATAAAATAAAAATGAGCTCCATCACATTTCTATACTATATATATATATATATATATATATATATATATATATATATATATATATATATATATATATATATATATATGTTCGTGCCGAATAGGCAGAACTTGCGATCTTGGCTTAAATAGCAACGCTCATCTTGCCATATAAGACAAGTGAAAATTTGTGTATGCAATAATTTCGCCAAAATCATTCTGAACCTAACGAGAAAAATATATTTCACTGTGTTTGTTTAGTATTAAATTAGTGTAAACAAATCTAAAATATATTTAGTTGGGTTAGGCTAAAATAAATTGTTCTTGTTATAATAAGGTTAGGTAAGTTTTCTAAGATTCTTTTGGAGCAAAATCAATTTTTTTTACATTAGCATTAATGAAAAAATATATCTTTAAATGTATAAGAGAAAATTTTAGAAAGGACTTAATTTTAAATGAGTTCTTGCTAATTGACCAGTTTTACATATTTGGCACGACATATATATATGTATATATATATATTATATATATAT